AACTTCCCTTACGTTTTCTAAATTTACATGGACATTGCTAAAGTTTTCGGAAATTTAAATTAATTGATCTGTCCTGATGTTCTCTGAGCTTCACTAAAGTTCCTGAAAACCATTAAATTTCCCTGAAGTTCTTTGGACTTGTGAAGTATCCAAAATGTTCACTGGAATTCGTTGGACTTTTCTGAAATTTCCGGGTTTTCAAAGTTTAACAGAAGTCAATGAAACTGTCTTTAATTTAACGAAATTTACACAAAAGTCTGGACTTTTCTGAAGTTTCATAATTTCTTAAATGTGCCTGCAGCAAGTGTGGATCCGCAATAAAAATCTGATAGCATCCTTGAAGCTCCGGGAAAGTTAAAAAACTGGCGGGAGAAGATGAAAGAATCATTCGAGCGAAGGCTGAAGAAGCTTCCAAGGTAAGGTGGAAGAAAATTCCAGGGAAAGTTGGATGAAACTTCAGGAAGTTTAAAAATGAATAAAAACTTCCGGAAGTTAAATAATGTTTAAAATATATTTCTCGATTCCCTAGGAATTACCGGAAAGAGCAATCAACTATTTCTCGATTGATGGGCAGCCAAAAACGGTGAGGAAATTCAAACATTAGTCGAAAGAGTAGCAAGCATAAGGCAACTTTAGAGATGATTGTTTAGAATTTTGAAGGCTCAACAAATATGAGGTATTCAAAAAGATAAAAGTCTCTCACAAAAATTTTCTCCGAAACTCGCGGGCAGGCAGTGTTCGGAAAAACTCAAAAACTCAAATCTCATGCATGAGTTTATGCGCCTATGAGTTTTGCCTTGCAAAATTCAACGTCGCAAAAATCACCGATGAGTTTTCAGGTTCAAAAATTCATTGCTTTATATTTTGGCGTTATTCATTGTTATTCCTATTGTTTGCGCATCAGGGGTTGAAAAACTAACACAACATGCATAGGCATGATATCAATTGACGTTTGAGTGGTTTTTATGAGTTTAAAGCTGGAATGATTTTTCGGCGTTGTGAGTGTGAGTGCGTGAATATGCATGAGAATCTCAAGCGTGAATTTTGTTTGCCGCATTCGTACGCGAGTTTATTCTCGAAGAGAGGCTCAATGAATGAGATTTGAGAATGATTTTCCGAACACTGCGGGCAGGCAATAATAATTTTGATTATTTAAAAAAAAACCGTATAAATCGGTATAAAATCTTAAAAATCGGTATTCTGAGGAACCTTATCTGTATATCGGTACACTCAAAAATAATAGTAACACAGTTAGATTAAAATTTAATATTTTTTCAAAATAACCGCAGAATAAACTGTGTTTTGCATAAACATTCCGTCGTTTTTATACTAAGATTGAATACGTGGACTGTAAACGTCAAAAACATTACTAATCCCTATAAGTTCCAGAAAGATATTAAAGATAAATGGAAGGTGGAACAAGGATTTTTAGGCTTATTTTCCCGAGTATTTCCACAGTAAATCGTCGTATAAGAGACCTTTCATTTGTAAGTAACTTAGAAATGCAATAAAAAACAAATTACAAAAAAATATTCCGTTTTGTAGGAATGCATTTGGTTGAGCTCTACATATCCCAGCAGGCCTTCCCGATGATTTCCCGTATAAGGTTAAACTCAAAAACTACGTCGGTGGTATAAGTGAGCCTCAGGAAGGATCAAAATGTTGATGTTTGTCACTCGTTTAGAATTCTGCTTTCAGTGCTTTCAGGGACGATGACGGATAAGCGGTTCAGAAATCCATCCCTCAACGGTTCGACTTTACGTGTTGGACACAGGCGTGTAAGACGAAGAATCCCTTCGCTAGTTGCTTCATCCCGATTGAAGAGGTTACAAATACGATGTGCAACGTACCACCATTCTACTCAGCTGAAACTCCTGCCAGGTCATTCGAAACGATATGAAGTTAATATCCGTTTCAGGCTGCTTCTCTACCAACGAATGAAAACTCAGTGAAGTGGCATTATTGTAGGAAAAAACCCTTCTTATCTCCTGTATAGTGGCCCAGAAGTTTGTTGACTCAGCTGGTGATGGCAGCGATATTAAAATCAAATGTATTGTATAGGGTGAACGCTCCGATAGTTGCGCTAAGTTAGAAGCGTTAGGTTCCTATAGTTGTGTATTGTGTCTCCATGCACAACTATAGGAACCTAACGCTTCTAACTTAACGCAACTATAGGAGCGTTTCCCCTATATGTATGAAAAAGAATTTAAATAGTTTTCAATGCATCCTTATAATATATATATATATATATATATATATATATATATATATATATATATATATATATATATATTTTGTTTTCCAATTCACTCAACATGATCATAAAAGCTTAATGACAGCTAAAAATAAACAAACCAAGCTAATACTAGGATTGAATACAAGCAGAAAATGCATTAAGATGTATAATCCATTTTTATACTAAGTGTGTATTCTCTCTCTTTAAACCAAGCTATGCGTCGGTCAGGAGAGTTGCAATTTAGCGTAACTTTTAATCTATTTAGATTTGAAAATCTTTTGAGTGTATCTAGTTTGGAAATCGGTATAAATACCGATAAATCGGTAAATCTGGCAACGCTGCGCCCGACCAATCGAAGCGTTGAGTCACGAGAAAAGGGTTTCCGAAGTTTTGTTCGCAATAGCTGATGTGCTCTTTTCTATTGTTGGTCGTGATTTGCTCGATAGGTTCCTCTCTTTGACAGCTCAATTGGTTCCCGAGATTCTATTGACAAATCCAAGTTTCAATCGGCCACCGTGGCGCTGCAATCGCAGCGGTGATAAGTCCGAAATAATGTGTCAAACTGAATACATTTTTGAAATTTCAACCAAAAAACTATTATTTTGTATTTATTCTAGCGAGTTTCTGTGGGAGTCAAAACATGATCCGAGCAAAAAAGTAGTACTCGTAATAATGGTATATAATTCTGAATTTTATCGTGCTTTGTTTCGAAAATATCTTCCAAATAAACAAACATCATCCAGATCACCCGATTCGTCCACCGACTAAATCTATTGCCACTTAAAAATTAATTTCAGTCGGTGTATTAATCAGCCGATTAAGCAGATTTAGTTGGCCAACTTTGTCTGCTGTTTAATCGGCAGATGATTTCAAACCTTAACATGTTTTCTGTAATTTAACTGTCTTGAAGTAGCATTTTATTTAGGAACAATGCATTACAAAATAATTTTATGCATTTTGTACAAGGTTCATCCATGCTGACAAGAAATTTGCATGAAATTACATTGAAATTAAACAATTTTGCAAACAATCAATGAAATTGTCAAGGGCTGTCACAGACTTATCACCGTCGGTTAGTGCTTATTCCTGCCACCAGGCGCGCAGGAGTTTAAGTTGGATTTCTCAATTCGCCAGGCTATGAATATAGCGACTTTGGTCAGGCGCTGGTTCGCGTTTGACAGAAAATTGGTTCATAAAAGGCCCCCTATTGTCTTAGGTTCAAACTTTCTCAAAAAACATATTTGATACAATTTTATAATCTCCATACATAATTTATTTGAATTACTTTTTACCCATATGAGAAGGTGGCACCATGCTTGGGGGAGAGGTAGCTCATCGATTCTTCCGGTTCGCCTCCTAGCATCGTGCTATAAGGTACCAGGCGATAACCAGGGTAGTTGATCGATAACTCGATGACGTCATTTCGTTGGCGTCTGCAATGAGAAATTCTCATAGCAGGCGTTGACGATGGGACGTTGTCGAGTTGTTGAATAGCAACTATCGTGGTAACTCACCGATTACCTGTCGATCTGCCAAATTTGGAAAGACGTCTGCATTGAATTGTCTCATATAATAATATTCCGCCCACTATATCACAAGAAATTGCGAGTAGCTGAGTGGAAAGGAGATAAGTTAAGCATTGGGTACAGGACCAAGTCTCCCCTGGGTGGTGCAAGAAGATGAGCGCAATAGAATCATCAAGTTGCCATAAGGCACGGAATGAGACTATTGCATGGCTGGGTAGTCAAAGTCTTCCATTCGTTAGTACTTTCAGGTGAATTAAAACAGGTTTAGGGTGGGCGTTGGCCAGATTTGAATTTTTCAGATGTAATCCTGGATAGGACCCTGTCATTGAACGTCGCGTGAAAGTGGAACTTAATGAAGGCCTAAGTACTTTTTCGTAGTTTTTAGTTTTCGGATTTGAAAGATCGTCGGTTACAGTGGCCTGCTTACTGAGCAGAAAAACGCGGTCCCAGGTCCTTACATATCGTGTATTTTGCGAAACTCGTTGTTGTCGTTGGTTCCGGGTTTGAATGGATACACAAATTTGAGCAACGGTATTATGTGATATGAGGGACTCGGTGGCCTTAGAGCAACCGTTTTTGCTTACTGAGCAGAACATCATGAGTCTAATCCCAGGCCCATCCACATTCAAGATTCGTCAATCGTTTAATTTGTTAATATGACTACATGGTAATAACAGCAACTCGGGGATTAAAAAGGTGCTCTTCTGCCTAGTGGCAAACGTTTTTGCTTACTGAGCAGAAGACCGTGGGTTTAGTCCCAAGCTCCTTCGCGTTATATGATCGTTAGGACATCAATTCAGCTTATCGTTTACCAAAACGAACCCTGCTGCAAACCCAACCCTCTTATCCAACATCCCAGTGATTCCTCGTGGAAGTGCAGAGGTGTTCTCGGCTTCCATCAAAGCGAGTGTCATGTCAACACAATCCTTCCCATTCCTTTCTTGACCTGTGTTCGGGCGCGGCCGGCGCTGGTATTGCCTAATTTAAGATCACCAGTTTTTACACATTGAGGATGATTGCTAGTCCCAAGCATCGTCTATTGGTTCTCTGTGTAATTACAGCTGATCTGGCAGTAACAGAGTAGCAACCGTGGGCGGTCAATCAAGCTCAAGCAAGCTCAAGCAAGCTCAAGCAAGCTCAAGCTCATATGAGAAGGTGGCACCATGCTACTGACAGTGGTGAGATTAAAACTCACAGCTTGCATTAATCCATTCTCGCAAAATTTCTCTCATCAACAGTTTGGTATCGATCCGGCTGAAACCGACCATGCTGGACCGGACCTACCAGGAGGTGGACGCCAACTTCCGATCCTATTGGCGTTCGATCATCACCATCGCCATCAGCCTCCACCGGACCCGGGAGATGCGGCAGCTGTTCCTCGAACTGGCTGAACGTCTGATTGAACCGTGGAAATTGAACAATTGGCCCAAGGATCAAGTCAGCCAGTTTATGCAATGTCTTACGCAGAGCGTTCTGGACCTGGAGGTACCCCGGGACAATCAGGATATCCGCTGTCTGTGGGATCGCTACATGCAGGTCGTTACCGTTTGCGTGCTGAAAATGTATCACAACTAAGGTTGGGGTGGCATTCAATATAATATCCTTTCATACTTATCCAACAATTCAGTTGAATAGAATTGAAAGAAAGCAAAAACATATTTTAATATATTGTGTACACCATCATTTAAATGCGCCTAGACGTCGCTAGATCTCTCATATGTGAGATTTCCATCGGTGTGTGGCGTCAGTATTCTTTCTGCCGTTCGTTGTAAGTGAAAGAAAGTCGGCTGTGGGAAAGCTCGCAAAATCAGATGTGCATTTCCTCATTTAAAACATCCCACCAACCACCCACTTGAATGCGAAAAAATAGCAAACTGGAAATAGAGATGGTTGTGGTGAAGCTGGAGCGAGAGCATCGTTTTCATTTCATTCAACCTTACCAACGGACGACGACGACGAAAGTTGTCCAAGTTTTGCACGACAAAGAATAACGACCGTTTGCAAAAAGCTTCAACTGTTCCATCATCTTATGCTACGTATGGCAAAGTAGAGAAAAGATTGCTGCCTAGGTACAGCAATTGAGATTATATGGAGCAGCTCCAGGCCAAATAAACATGTGGCAAATAGCCAAAAAATAAATGGTTGGCTCGATCTTCTTCGATTTGCATGCATCTCATTTTTGCTAAAAATTGTGGATTTTGGATCTTGTATTTTTTTTTCAAAATGGCGTCTTTGACTTTTTTCAATAAATTGAACACGAAAATGTCAATTCAGTTCGAAATGGTGTCTAAGACAAAGTTGTGGAGACAAATGTTGTGCTGAGCAAAATAAACACGGTGATTTTTTAGTAAAAATTTAAGAAAAGTTTAAAATAATCAAAAATTTAAAAAAGAACGTTCATTTTTTATATAAAGTTCATAAAAAAAGAATGCAAATTTTTGAAATATTGAAAATTAATGGACATATGAAAATTTACAAAAATCGTAGAACAAGAGCTATTGGACAGAGATCGATTTGAAATGTCTGAAATATTGTTTCCTGTGTAGAAAATACATAAAAAAGCGTACTCAAAATTACTAAAAAAATACCGTGTATATTTTTCCCAGAAACACTTTTCTCTACAACTTTGTCTTTCGATCAGAAGTGACGTTTTCGTGCTACAATTTGTTGAAAAATTTCAAAGATGCCATTTTGAAAAATAAAATCATGATCCAAAATCCACAAATTTTAGCAAAAAATGAGAATGATTGCCCATAACAAACAAGTATGCAAAGTTTCATGCAAATCGGAAAAGGTCCAGTTTTATCGATTCGTCATTTAGCGTGGAAGTGCCCTATGGTGTGATGAGTGTTTCTGTAGATGGTAAGACAAACGAGAGTTCTTCTTTCTCACTTGTTTCACTTGTTTGGCCGATAGTGACGGTAAGCAAGGGACTGCTGGGGGTTTTGGGTGTAAATGGAAAGATTGATAAGCAACTAAACTCTTACTACAGCACTGTCTCTGAGCCACGGGAGAGAAAAAAAAAACAATTTGCTCCAAAGTTCAATTGCTTTTTTTTTCCTTTATTGTCACCGGCATCGGAACAAACGAAGATATTGATTACAGCATTGACAATCTTCAATGCGCATTTTTAACACTGCAAACGAAAACGTAAAGAAAACCGAAGCGCAAAGATTCTCAAGACGTCGATGTTTAAACAGTCAGTGGAGAGCATTGCTATACGCTCTCGTCTTGCATCATTCAATCGGTAATGCTACAGCTGGCAATGTAGGTACATATATAGTATCTTATAGGTAAAGTATATCGGTGACGGTAGTCGTTCGTCGACGCTGAAAAAGCAGGAAGTAGATGCTCCAAGGCATCACGGGTAAATAATGGTTTTCATTTTCCACTGAATTAGAGCGGATGATTGAGCTTATGCGCACTCAAGCGGACCAATAAGTGCGTAAATCGAGTATTAATTGGAAGTTTATAAATCTAAAACAATTGGAAAGAAATCGTTTTGATAGGATGAGAACAATAATTTTTCATTTTCCATTATACAGATGAAAACGGATGACACACCGTAATTAAATAAAACAAGATTACAGTTTGAAATTGTTCCCCCTTAAGATTGGCACCCAGGTCCCACCAAGCACAAACATGACTGCTGTCGGTCGAGTGAGGCTCTACGGTAGCATTTAGCTTGGGAAAGTTCTTATATAGCTAATATACATTTTGTCTGGCACCGCAATAAAGTCGTTGTTTGGAGCACAATGATAATATTTCTTTCTTACCATTTCACATGATTCACTACAATTTCATGTATGTGTACAGATCAGGATAAATTGCGTCAAAACGGACTATGGGTTTGCTGTACTCTGGAGGGAATATGGACAGTAGACACCCAACTAACAATTTTCATAATGCAAACGCTTGACTTATTTCATTTATACAGCCTCAAGCTGTATTCAAACGTTAAACGATATGAGGAAACCCTTACTCAACCTCTTTACAAGCAAATCTGGCGAACTTAGTCAGCTACTTATGGTTGTTGGGACGGTTTGGACAACCCAAGCAACACGGCTTGTCATAAAGAAGTTGAAAATACTTTGTAATGACTAACGCAAAGAATCACTAATACTTTAATATACATCATTTAATACATTTATACAACCTAAAAAGCGCAAGACGCGGAGCTTATACAACTAAATACTGGTCTTATAACATGTATTTTGGAAACATCATAAAAACCAGCGACAAAAAAAAAAAACAATAAAAATATCTTGAGCATGGGATTCGATCACTGGTCCTTGGCGTGGTAGACTTGTTTCTACCTAACTAGACCAACACCGCTTGATGAAAGGTTTGTTATAAGTATCTATCATGTTCTTGCCAATAATGGCATGAAAATTATTTTCTCGTTCAACACGCCTTCGATCCGTCATGAAGACGTCTTGTTAGTAGCAAAGCGTACATCTAATTGCCAGAATGTTATTTAAACGCATTTTAAACTCCTTATAAGACAACCTGCACATTTTCAGTTGTATTAATTTATGAGATGTCATAAAAAAGTATTTTCAACTTTCTTTATAACAAACCTCCGAATACCTCATAAGAAACTGTCAATCACGGCATGAAGAGACAGTCCGGCTCAATGGCACCGTCAATGTTTACGTCAATCTGGATTGATTTTGTATACGACAAGTTTTATAGTGGTATTAAAACAGTAAGATGCACGTTCAAATAACATTTAAAGATAAAAGCAAAAGAAAACTATTTTGGAAAATGTTGAATCAAAGAAGTATGAAGAAAACATCTTTAAACCTCTTATATAACGTAGGATGTTTTCTGCATCTCTTATAATACATTTATACAACAATCATCTCACTGCGTCCTAGCAAGAAGAACGGTCGACTTGTTTCGCGCTCCGTTAATTTGGAAGTTTTCTCGCTATTATCTGACGTAAATAATCAGTTTTTTCTCGCTTAGTGATTCCTGGCATAATTCCCGATAAATTTATCAAAAATTGAGTTTTTTTTCTGAGAAGAAAGTGTGTTTTCGGCATCATCGGAAGGAAAATTGTTTTTGCGATTGCCAATTCGCCAACCATTTTGCGCACCATCGGTGCGTGGTCACGCATACCTGTGCACACGGATCATCGTCATCGAGTGTCAGCATCTGCCTCCACATTCAAACCGCTCATCCATCTCGTGTGTTCAGCTGAGTGCCGAGCTTCATACAAGCACACACCAACGAAGACCGCGCGCACACGCGGATCGAAGATCATCAAAGCTGCGCGTCGCTCCGCTGCTGCTGTGTAAACGCTCGGTGATAGTAGTATAGAATTATCAGATAAGTTTTTGTTCTTGTTTCTTTCTTTCTCCCATCAGTTAAATTTTAAGTTTGTGTTTCTGTGTTTGTATTTTTTTTTCTCGTGTATTGTGTCCGAGTAATTCTGATTATCGTTGCAGTGGTAGAGCGTTTTTCGCTCCCACTAGTACGGCAAAATGGACATTTTGTCGGAAGACGAAATGGACGTTTTGTCGGAAGATGACACCACTTTGCCACGCGATAGCAAGAAGGGTCGAAAACGTCTGTCATCCCAGAAATCAGATGATGCCATCCCTGCTTCGTCATCTCAGTCTGGTAATGGACAGGGACAGATAAGCCCCCGATTGCGAGCCTACCCAGAAGACTCGACTGGCCCATGGGTTGTTTACTTTCAGCCCAAAAAGAAACCTTTGAATGTAATGCAAATTACTAATGATCTGACGAAGCGGTTCTCGGCCGTGACCGAAATCTCGAAGGTGAGGTACAATAAACTTCGCGTTGTCGTCTCTAACCTGAAACAAGCTAACGAGATTGCTGCCTCCCAGCTCTTTACACTCGAGTATAGAGTGTACATCCCAGCTCGTAATGTGGAGATCGAAGGTGTGGTCACCGAAGCGAGTCTGACCCCCGAGATCTTGGCGAAGCAAGCGGTTGGCCGTTTCAAGAACCCCTTGCTTCCCACGGTTGAGATACTGGAAGTCCAGAAGCTGAACTCAGTATCTTTCAGCGAGGGTAAAAAGAGCTTTACCCCCACAGACTCGTTTCGAGTGACCTTTTCTGGTTCAGCCCTTCCTCACTACATCGAGTTGGGAAAACTTCGACTACCTGTGCGTTTGTTTGTTCCTCGGGTCATGAACTGCCAAAACTGCAAACAGTTGGGACATACGGCCTCTCACTGTGGTAGCAAGGCACGCTGTTCCAAATGCGGGGAGAAGCACGAGGATGGCGCCTGCACAGTCACTGCACCAAAATGCGTGTACTGTAAGGGAACTCCTCATGGTCTCTCGTCGTGCCCGGCGTACAAACAACGCGGGGAGAAACTAGAACGCTCTCTTAAGGAGCGTTCCAGGCAGTCTTTTGCAGCAATGCTAAAAACAGCCACACCATCAACCAACGACAAAAATCCCTTTGCTGTTTTGTCTGATGACGAGTCTGACTCTGACTTGGCTGAGGAGGGAATTTCTTTCAGTTTTCCGGAAGGTTCTGCACGGAAACGAAAACGCATCCGTTCGCGGAAAGTTGCAGATAAGGAACCCCAAATCAGCTTGCCCAAATC